TCTTTCTAAGGAATAATATTCCCTTCCAACAAGATTGGATTTGTTTATTAATCCAATTGTTCTTTTATTGCTTTTGCCTTTTATTATGATTCTTCATTTGTGGTTATTTTCTGATTTAACCGAAAACTCATTAATTTTCTCTCTTGTTAATACAGGCATTCAATTATATAAAGTTGCTTCTATGTGATACTTAAACTAAAGTGGATTAATTTTTATAGACAGTAGTCAAGAAACATTTATTAAGTACCTACTATGTGCCAGGTACTATGCTAAGTGTTAGAGATACAAAGAAAGGCAAAAAAGAATGGAGGGAACAACATGGAAACAATTATGTACAAACAAGCTATAAACAGGATAAATTTGCAACAGCCAACAGGGGAAAGGCACTAGAAAGGAGGTTAAGGAATGGCTTCCTATAGAGGGTGGGATCTCAAAGAGAGAGCCAAGAAAGACAAGAAGCAGAGATTAGGAGGAAGAGCATTCCAGGCAAAACCAGGGTCACTGGATCAAAGAGTATGTGGAAAGGTATAAATATTTTTTAAATAAGGATTTATATAGCACCTGTGCTAAGTACTTTAAAATATCTTGTTTGACCTTCACAACCATTCTGAAAGATAAGTTAGTTACATTTTACAGAGGAGGAAACTGAGGCAAATAGAAGTTAAGTAACTTGCCCAGGGTCACACAGATGGTAAGTGTTTAAGGTGGTGCAGTGGATAGAGAACCAGGCCTAAAGTCAGGAAGACTCATCTTTCTGAGTTCAAATCTGGCCTCAGATACTAGCTGTGCCTCAGTTTCCTCATCTGTAAAAATGAGCTGGAGAAGGAAAAGGCAAATCTCAAATGGGGTCATGAAGAGTCCAACACAATTTAACAACAACATTTTCATGAATTTCAAGAATTTCATGAATTTCAACATTTCAAGAATTATAATTCTTTCATGTGTTGAAAATTTCTTTTCTCAAATTATTTATAACTTCCCTGTGCTATAGAAAGTGACTAATTCTTAGGACTGTCCCAAGTGTATAAGTAAATTGCCTACATCCCGCTCTTTAGTTATTTCCAAACCACCATCAAATCCAACTTCTTTATAACTCTAGTCAAATCTATAACCTTCTTCCTTCCTACTGAGTTTATTTGATTTACATTATTCTATTAGTGGAGTTAAACTTTTTTTTACATTATTCTCAATTCTAGCTTGATGTTAAGGGAAAAAATTCTATTCAAAAGTGAAATGGGCTACCTCAAAGGGTGGTAGATTCCTTCTCCTTAAGGTCTCTAAAGAGAGGTTATGTAACTACTTGTCAGGAATGGGAAAGTAGGGATTCTTTCATGTACTAGATGAACACAGATACTTTGCAACTATCAAATTCTATGAATTTGCAATCTGTAATTATATAAAAAATATTATACTATTTTTCTTTTTCTATCTAATTCTTTTTAAAAATCATTTATTCCTTTTGAAATGTAGTTATTACAACTTAGGGGTGAAAATATTAAATAATGATATTCTTTCACTGACAATGTTATCTTTAAAAACAATACTATTCCTTCATCTATCTCACATAATGCTTTCTATTTTGAATTCAGCTTGGTTTGGTATCATCTCTATAATTCTAGTTTTCCAGAGTTAGTTAAAACATGTTAAATTTCAGTTCATTTAATCTTAAATTTTTGTACTTTTTGTGCATTAAATGTTTCTTATAGGCAAGATACTATTAGGTTATGGTTTTTAATCAATTCAATTGGTTTTCCTTTTCATAGGGAAATTCATTCCATTTAAATTCAAACTTCTAACTGTTAAATGTGACTTCTCAATCATATGTTGTCAAATTATTTTGTTAGAAGGGAATATAAGATGCCTTATTTCACTAATACTAAAAATTTCCCAACTTTAACATACAAATACTATTAAATATATTAGCAGTATTTCAAAAATAAGATGGAATATTTGTAAAGTGCTTAACACAGTGCTTTGCACATTGTAGGTCCTTAAGAAATGCTTATTCCTTTCCCTTTCACTATTTTATACTATTAATTTTGTAAATTTTGTTGAACACTCAAATCCTTTATTTACTTTTCTGTTTCAGAAGGGAACTTTGGTCTCATATAACTTGCCCTTCCCCTCATCCTCCACCCTATTAAGTTACCTGCCTTTGTTATCTTGTTTTTCTTTCCTCTCTGTCACTCTTTTTGAATGCTGGGCAAAGTTCTTTGCCTGTTTCCCCACCTTTCCCACCTCCAATCTAAGGCAGTTTGTAAGATATAGTAATTAACTAAAACAATCTTTTTTTTTCATACCCATGGGATTTATTTATAATAGAAACTACTTGATTACAATTGTAAAGTGTCTGCTAATTAAAGTACTTGATTTCATGACCCAGATCTGGCTCTGTACTCTTCTTAGTTTTTTATGTCAAAAACTATTGCAAGATTGGCCATTGTCTCCACAAATTTCTCAAGTTTTGGTGGACTTTTAAATGAATATATTTTAGGACTGAAAAGGATGCTTAGTTTTTGAGTTGGAATAAATTTTTATATCTCTAAATTTTCAGTATTTCAAATTCCTGCTTTGTCATTTTTATTTTTATATAAAAATCTTTTAGACTTTTGGAAAGATGAAAGAATAGAAAGTTGCATGACTGCCTAGCTCTTTAATATACTCCTAAAAAACAGCAAAAGAAACACCAAAAAAACCCAATAATATCAAAAATTATCAAAGGAAAATTCTTTTAAAAAAAGAGCACTAAAATTAATTCAATCCCACAAACATTCATTAAACACTATGTACAAGGCACTATGCTAGGTGCTGGGGGTACAAAGATAATAATGAAATAATCCCTGTTCTGAAGGAGTTTGCATTCTTTGGAGAGATACAACATGAATGCAAACTGTCTCTGTCTTTGTCTCTATGTCTCTCTTTCTCTCTATCTCTGTCTGTCTCTTTCTGTGTGTGTCTCTCTCTGCCTCTGGGTCTCTCTGTCTCTCTTTCTCTCTGTCTCTGTCTCTCTCTATAGATAGATATAGATAGATAAATAGATAGATAGATAGATAGATAGATAGATGTGTGTGTGCATAGTGATTTCAAGAGGGAAAGCATGCTAATAACTGGGAGAAGCAGAAAACATTCCATATACAAAGTGGCACCTGAGTTGTGCATTCCTGGAAATTCCCTCAGTCCTTGAGCTGGTGAGTACATTTAGTAGCATCGCCCAATTCGTCTGTTCCCAGATGTCTTTAGGACCAATAGCCCTCCTTGATAACTCCTTTCTCTGCTACAGCAGAGTCTACTTTCTTTTTCTCCTTTTTGCCTTTTCTCTTTTTGCCTTTGGTTTGCCAGGTTTCCCCACCCCACCCCATCCCCGCCCCGAGTTTTATATGACCTTACTCCTAACTCTACACTGTAAGAACTTTGATATCTCAATCTTGTTCTGAACTCACAAATGCTTCTTTATCAGGTCCTCATAGAATATAGGGGAAGAGACTTTGTTAAATAAAAACTGTTGGGGAAAATTAGCACTAGGGCACGAAAAAAGTGACTAGCTCCATATCTCTTACAATATACCAAAAAAAAAAAAAAATGCAATTGAATCAACAACATAAATACAAAAAAATAATAAAAAGATTACAAAAAAAATAATAAAAAGATTAAAAGAAAATGAAATGGTATATCCACAGCAATTCTAGAGATGAGAAAAAAAACCCAGCAGACAAAAGAAATGGAGCCCATTATGAAGAGAGTTGTTTGTTTTGTTTGTTTGTTTGTTTTTGCGAGGCAGTTGGAATTAAGTGACTTGCCCAGGATCACACAGCTAGTAAATGTCAAGTGTTACTCGTCTGAGACGGGATTTGAACTCAGGTCCTCCTGACTCTAGGGCTGGTGCTCTATCCACTGTGCAACCTAGCTGCCCCTGAAGATAGTTTCTGCATATGAAAAACCAATAAAATCCAAAAGGAAAAGAAAAAGCCCACCCAATAGGGGGGTTGGGGGGAGAAATCTTTCCATAAGTATTTCTTCATCATGCAAAATATATAACGAATTGGAACAAACTTATAAAAGTAAGATCTATTCCCCAGTAGATAATGGTCAAAGGAAATGAGCAGTTCTCAAAAGAAGAGACATGAATAAGCAAGAACCATTTGAAAATTTGTTCAAACAGTCTAATAATCTGAAAAATAAAAATTGTAAACTCAGAAATGCCACCTTACTCCCATTAATTTGGCAAAGATTGGTGGGGTTTTTTAATGATAAAATTAAGTTCTGGAAGGGATATAGAGAAACAGGCTACCACCTTGGGTTGTGATAGATGATTCTTGACAGAATCAGATCTCCACCTCACGTCCTGATGACTAGCCATAAGCACATATCCTCTTCCCCTCTTCCAGCTTCCCTTTATGTATAGTTTTCTCTCATTAGACTATAAGCTACTTGAGGGTTATGAATGGAGTTTTTTCTCTTGCTTAGTGCAGTGTCGAGCACGTGGTAAACACACAAATGTTTTATCTATCACATTGTCAATGGAGATGTGACTCGATATAATCTTTTTGAAAAACAAAAGTATTCACACCTACTGACCTACTAGAGCTATACCATATGGGTGTTATTGATAAGGGGGAAAGAGCTATCATTACAAAAAAAACACAACAACTAGGGGTTGGAGGTGGAAGGTCAAGAACATAATTCTGTCAGGTTGAAGTTCTACTCCAATGAGTGGCCTTTGATTATGAAACCACTGACATATCTTCTAAACTGGCAAATAATAAGTGAAGTGAGAACATGTTGGTCTCCAGTAAGGAAATATACTAGAAAGATAACTCAATTTCAGTAGAGACCTATGGAAAACACCTGCTGTTTTCCCAATTGTATCAACTACCTCCCTTACCTCGAAACTGACAAGAGTCACTGATCTCAAATAGTAAAGCTACTAATCTTTATACAAATAATTACAAACTTGAGTATAAAGGATGAGAGCCTCCTAAGTGGATGAGCCACTTACAAGAATGGAGGCAGTAGGAAGGCTCGTTTCTTTAGCCCTTTTAATTTCATTATGTCTGGCAGAAAAAAATTTGAAGGTGCCTCAAGGTAAGAAAAACCACGTAAGAGACCGGGGGGTGGGGTGGGGTAAAGTGCTAAACTGCTTTGACCCTCAGGTTCCCTCATCTGTTAAAATGAGGAGAATGAGTGCTGGGGTCTTCCCAAACTCTGGGACTGAGGCTTCACTGGCCCACACCTTTCTTTGAAAAAAAACAAAGGCACAAGCAGGGTTAGCTCCTTCTTGTCAAATGCAAGATGAGCCAGCCAACAATATAATGCATTTCTAAATAGAGATATTTTTATTGCAACTAATCATGGGAAGCCTTTTTCTTTATAAATACTTGGCTTTCTTATTAATTCACCTGTGTGGTAGTGGTAGGGTGTGTGCATTTATGTATTTGCCACCCCCCTCTTCTTCCTCTTTAATATACAGAAAGATCTTATGTATTTTCAACACATGAATTCTAGGAGTTAGAAATTCATTTTCAAACAACACCAGTCCCTCTATCGCTTTGGTTTTTGCCAATGGGCATTTTAAAAATTGTGCTTACATTTGGTTCATTCTTCATTGTGTAGGGAAATAGGCTGGAGGGAATGATTGTAACTATTGATCACGAGCTCTTAAGTATTGTCCCAATCAGGCAGATCGACCTGCGGGGGCCTCCTACAAGAGATCCAAAAGGCTCTGATCCTGAACCTCAAGGCCAATGAAAGCTGCACCTGGACAATAGAAAGACCAGGAAACGAAACTGTCAGACTCATCTTTTCCCACTTTAAGTAAGTCACTGAGCCTCAGTTTCTTCAAATGGGGGAAATAATATTTATTGTACCTACCTCTCAGGGTTGTTGTGGGACTCAAATGAGATAAAGAATGCGAAGTTCTTTGCAAACATAAAGTGCTATATAAATATTGACTATTATATAGTATGTAATAGGTGAAGATATGTTCCCCCTTTGCCCTGGAGAAAGCAGGGTGGGGGAGGGAAGCAAGAATAACATTAAATGTGTTAATTTCCATAGAAAATTAATAAAGTGACATCGTTTGTTCCCTTCACCCTTCCCATTTGAATACATTATACAAAACAATATGGCAGGAAGCACAATCACCATCCAACAGGCATTTATTAAGCACCGATTAATGTGCAAATCATGTTGCTTGGTTTTAGAGATACAGAAATAACAATGGAATCAATCCCTATATTCTACTAGAGGGATACAACATTCAAACAGGTAAGTATATACATGCCAATATGAAAAGGGAGAGAAATCTAATAGCAAAGGGGATAAGAAAGGCTTTGTGTAGGAAATGGTACATGATCTTTACCTTGAAGGAAACTAAGAATCCCAAGAAATAGAAATGGGGAGTTCCTTCCCAGGCAGAGAAGACAATCTATGCAAGGACTTGTAGGCAGGAGATTTAAGGTGCCACTGATTTAAGGGAGCCAAAAATAGACTGGTTTGGATGAATCATAAAATGCAGGAAGGGAAATGATATGACATAAGCCTGGAAAGGTAGGTTGGAGAAAAAATTTTAAGGACCTTAAATGCCAAGCTAGAGATAAGATCAGAATGTAACAGAAAAGAGTTTAAAAAGCTGGTTTACACAAAATGACTAACATAGAAATATGTTTTACATAATAGCACATGTATAACATCAGACTGCTTATTGTCTCAGGGAGGGGGGGAGAGGCGAGAATTTGGAACTCAAAATTTTTTTTGAATGTTAAAAATTTTTACATGTAATTGGGAAAAATAAAATATAAAAAAATGCTGAAGTTTATATTTAGACTTAAACTGCTTAGGCAATCAGGTAAAATAATTAAACATATGCATATACATGTTTCTATGGAAGAAATCAGTTCTAAAATTCTAAATTCATTGGGAAATTATCTTTTAATTTCATCAGAAACTCAGCAATCATATATTTACAGTAGGTGTCTCCACTTTCTTTCTTCCCATTCTCTTAACTCCTTCCAACCCAGCTTCTAGCCTTACCATTACACCAACACTCTCTCTCCAAAGTTACTAATGATCTTTTAGTTGCCAAATCCAATGCCTTTTCCTCAATCCTCTTTCTCCTAGAACGCTCTGCAGTCTTTGACATTAATGATCACTCTCTCCTGGATATTTTATTCTCTCTCGGTTTTTGGAACACCACTTTCTCTCTCCTGGTTCTCCTACCTGGAAGTTCCTTCTGTGTCTCTTTGCTGGATTCTCTTTCAGATAAGAATTATGCTCTCAAACCATAGAAATCCCTCAGAGTTCAGCCCCCCTCCCCAGTAAACTCCAGTGGTTCCCTATCACCTCTAGGATCAAACACAAAATTCTCTGGCATTCAAAGCCCTTTATACCTTTCCAATCTTCTTTCACCTTACCCCCCAATACATACTTTTCGATCCTGTGACACTGGGCTCCTGGCTGTTCCACAAACAAAACACTCCATCCCTTGGCTCTGGGCAGTCTTTCTGGCTGTCCCCAATGCCTGGAACACTGTCCTCCACTTAAACTACTGACCTCCCTGACTTCCTTGAAGTTCCAACTAAAATCCCACCTTCTACAGGAAGCCTTCCCTAACCTCTCTTAAATCTAAGGCCTTCCCTCCATTATTTCCTATTTATTATAAGTATGGCTCAATTTGTACATTTGTCTGCATATTGTTTTCCCCATTAGATTGTTAGCTCCTTGAGGGAAAGGACTATCTTTTGTCTCTTTTTGCATTCCCAGTGCTTAGCACAGTGCCTGGCACATAGTGGGTGCTTAATAAATATTTATTGATTGATTGATCGATTGATTCCAGGCCCCATTCCCTCTCTGCTACTTACTCCCTACATTATGTTTAGTAAGTTGTTCAAACCTCATTGGGCCTCTTTTCTCATCTACAAAATAAAGTGGTTGATTTAGATGATCTCTAGGATCCCTTCAAACTTTAGATCCTTCAGTGCAAAGATAAATACAGTACTGGTCCCTATGCACAAGAATTTATAGTGTACTTGGGAGAGATAAGAATTATCTGTCAGAGATAATTCTAATATCAGTCAAAATGTGTGTACATAGGAGGTTTGGGTTTTTTTTTTGTTGTTGTTGTTTTTTTAAAGTACTCTGGAAGACCTTAGGAGAGAGAGATTTCTTCTATCCTGGCAGACCAAGGCAGTCTTTTTCTAATAGTAGATGGACAGGTCAGATTTCAACAAATGGAGAGAAAAGGGCTTTCTTGGTTGAGGGATTAACTTGAGCAAAGATATGGAGACACAAAAGGGCAAAGAACAGTTTGGAAAATGGTGAGTAGCCTGATTTGACAATAGCACAGAGTATATGAGAGGGAGTAATACAAGACAAAGCTGGTGAGGTTGTGCCACTCACTGCGGCAGGCCTCAGATGCCACTCTTAGGGATTAACCCAGCAAGCAGTGGTGAACCGTGAAAGGTTTTGGGCAGAAAAGTGACAATATCAGAGCTGGGTCCTATGAATGTTGCTCCAGTGACTATACAGGATACATATTGGATCAGCGAAAGGATAGATGCAGGAAAAGACCAGTCATTTCACAAGTGTTTTTTATTTCCCACAGACTTGACCCAGGTGCAAGTTGTGAGGTTGAAAACATTAAAGTTTATGACGGTGCCTCCACTGATACGCCTCTCCTTGGGAAAGTCTGCAGCAAAGTTGACTATGTCCCAGTGTTTGAATCATCATCTAACAGCCTGACATTTCAGACATCCACCAGCTCTTCAGTAATTCAAAGAAGTGTTTTTGTTTTCTATTACTACTTTTCCTCAGAAATAAGTAAGTTAGCACTAATCTAATGAGAGAAATTTGAAGAAATATACCAGTAAAGTTCACCCTGAGCACAATGCCCCAAAGTTTCAGGCCAGGGAGTTCTCAAATATGGCTTCAGTTCAACAAGCCTATAATATTTTATACTGGGCACTGTACTAGGCACTGGGGTTATAAACAATAAAAAAAATGCCCACCCTCAATTTATATTCACTCATGTATATGTATTTATATCTACACACATGTATACATGTGCATATGTGTTACATGTATGTATATAGATACAAGTGCATATACACACGTTTGGAGGGGGCAGTATCAGAGTCTGTATGTATCAGGGGCTGCCTGGCCTTACGTACAGATCTTCCTGATTCTAAGGCTGACTCTACTATACCATGCTGCCACTCAAATACAAGCTCTATACAAACAAAATACAAAGTGACTGGGAAGGGGAAAGGAATAGAGGTAGAGAACCCTGAGTAAATAACTGCCCCTTTCCTAATAATAGTGGGTATTTTGAATTTTCACTCATTTGCAGTTGCTATTGCCAAGGAGCTAAGGCGGTGTAGTAAGGGAGAAAGACCTTGGGTAGCTTTGTAGTCTGGTTCAAGACCTGGCTCATTTGCTGGCTATTTGACAATGGGCAAGGCTCTTTGCCTTTAATAGAGCACAGTTTCCACATTTATAAAAGGATAAAGACATAGTACTTCAGTGTAACTCACATAACTTTTGTGATTTCAAATGACATAATCTATGTCAAGTGCTTGTGTTATCTAATGCAAACTATTATTGATATTGTAAAAATTAAAGCCTGCGTGCAGGGGCCTGAAACAAATCAGATTTTCTTTCTCGTAACCTAATTAGAGATCCCACTGGGATGCAAGGGAACCAGATAACTTCAAGATTACACAATGGTGGGGCTATGGCCAAATCACTTCATCATCTCTCTGTAGACAGGAAAAGAATAATTTTTATAATTATCTAACTTCATGCAAGCCAAGGTGCCCCAATATTAAACCTGGTTAACATTTAACAAAGTAACTCACCTTGCTTGCATCTAGATTTGTATATTTAGTCCTTTACTTTGTTTTTTCAGGCATCAATAACTGTGGAGGCTACCTTAATGATTTTGGGGGTTCTTTTACCAGCCCTAATTACCCACAGGCACACCCAGAGTTTGCTTATTGTGTGTGGCACATACAAGTGGATAAGGGCTACATAATAGATCTAAACTTCAAAGAGATTTTGTAAGTATTACACCCGGCTAAACCTACATATCATTGTAGTTATGCAAAGTGTAGTAAATCTTGGTTTTTTCTATAAAGACAGGTAGTAAATGAAATGCTTAGGTTCACTGAATGATCTGGTAACAAACAGGATTATCCATTTTCAAGGAATTAGAATATAATGAAAACTAGTAATATATTTACATATATAATATATATATATATATAATATAAATATATTTGAAAATAACATGTAGTTAAAATCATTGTTCAGTTGTGTCCAACTCTTTGTGATCCTATTTGGGGTTTTCTTGGCAAAGATACTGGAGTGGTTTGCCATTTCCTTCTCCAGCTCACTTTACAGATAAGGAAACTGAGGCAAACAGGGTTAAGTGACCTGCCCAGATTCACACATCTAGTAAGTATGTTAAGTTGCATTTGAACTCAGGTCTTCCTGACTCCAGGAAGTGGAGTCAACTGTGCTACCCAGCTGCCCAGGCTATCAATAATCATGAAAAAATGCTCTAAATCACTATTGATTAGATGTGGGGAACCTACTCAAGGCCACATGCTCCCTTTCTAGGTCCCTGGGTGCAGTCTTTCAACAGAGTCAAAGTTTTACAGAACAAATCCTTTTATTAAGGGGATCTGTTTGGTGAAGTTTGGATTTAGTCAAAGGGCCACACTTGAGGACCTAGAGGGCCACATGTGGTAGCCTTAAGGCCGAAGGTTCCCCACCCCTGGATTAGAGAAAGGCAAATCAAAACAACTCTGAGACACCACTTCACACTTACCAGATTGGCTAATATGATAGAAAAGGAAGATGACAAATATTGGAAAGGATGTAGAAAAATTAGGGCACTAATGCCCTGTTGGTGGAGTAGTGAACTGATCCAATCATTCTGGAGAACAATGTGGAACTATACCCAAAGAGATATAAAACTGTGCATACGCTTGGGCTATCACTACTCATCTTGACTCTTGTCTTGACATTGGATTCCAGTAACTCTGGAGAAGAGAGTGAGGCTGATGGCTTTGCACAAGTCTCCCTCACTTAAATCCAATTTGCACACAAGTCAAGACATCACCCTCATGATGTCACTGGTCCTCTTCTTCAGAAGGCATCGTTCTTAGCAAGGAGCATTGACCTTGAAGTCAGAAGCCTCTAATTTAGCTCCTGGACTTGAAGCCTAGCAGCTGTGGGCCCCCAGGGCAAGTCACCTTCATCTCCCTATATCTAAGACTCTTCCTTTGTGAAATGAAGATAACACTTGGACTTCTGACTTTACAGGGTTGTTAGAGAAGTACTTTGTATATCAGCAAGTGTACAAATACCAGTAAAGTAAAGTAAAGTAAATACCAGAAAGTATTTACATGTGAATTACTGTGAATTACTATGATTTAGTTTTTAAAAATCAATTACCACTGCAGAAACATTCTAATCATGTGAGCTTCATGGTGGGCAGGATTGTGGGATCAATAGTTGCTGTTTGAGCCCTGAAAAATCTACTCGTCACATCTCCCTGATTCTCTAGCTTGGAAATAGATGAAAACTGCAGATTTGACTTCATTGCTGTCTACGATGGTCCCTCCACAAATTCCAGCTTGCTTGGACAAGTGTGTGGTCGGATCACGCCCAGCTTTCAGTCTTCTTCAAACACTCTGACAGTCGTGCTCTCCACGGATTACGCCAATTCATACCGAGGCTTCTCTGCTTCTTATTCTCCACTTTATGAAAAAGAGGTCAACGGTAGGTCACAGTCCATGTTCTCTTATTGGTTTTTAATAATTTTAAGGCTGCATGAAGTCATTCTTTTTGCAAAGTATGTATTATGCACGTAATACATAGTTTACATATACATAAATACATAAAATACATAAAACTATGTATTACGTGCATAATACATACTTTGCAGTATACTCGGCATTGTGGTAGATACAAAGATTAACAGTGGGTGTTTCCTGCCTTCATGTTGTAGAATCAGCTAAGGTTTTTATCCTTAGTTGCTTGTGATTTTCCACTGTTCTCACACCAAAGACACAAGGCCTCATTTCAAGCTCTGGGGCAGGGGTTCTCTAGCGTCGTGGATTTCTTTGACAATCCCGTCAAGTCTATGGAACCCATCTCTGAAAGATGTTTTCAATTGCATACAATCAGATACAGAGGATTACAAAAGGAACCAATTACACTGAAATACAGTTGGCAAAATGTATTTTTTAAAATTCACAGAGCCCAGGTTAAGAACCCCTAAAAGTCTGGGGATTAAATTTGTCTCTTTAGCCATCTTCCTAAATATAGATAACACAAATCAATGTTTTCCACCCTCCAGCAGTGGGAGAAGTAATTGAATAGAGTGAAAATAAAACAAGACACTCCCCACTTTGTGATCTAACTAAATTCCTTTAGAAATGAGAGTCATGTCCCACTTTTAATAACTCATAATCCAAATGGAACTGAGTATCACTAAGCAGTCTCTAACCTGGGGACTGAATGTTATTGATTTTAGAATAAACAGTAATCTAAAGTATTCTGTAATTAATAAATTGTAAAACCTCAAATATAGTAAGACATTTCTAACATAACCCAGAGGTTTTCTAAAGCCAAGGCCTTAAATCTTAGTATTTTTCTATGACTTAAAAGTAGATCATCTAGAAGATTACAATGATAAATATTAACCTTACAGACTCTAATATGCAATTTAAAGTTCTTAAGCACAGAGAAAATGGTGTAACTTTATGCTATTTAGCTCCTCCTCACAATCTGAGGCAAAATGCCTTTCAGCAATTCCACTTGCATAGATATTCCTTTATGACAAGCTTTATGAAAACCAACAGGCCTCAAAAAGTATAAAGCATGACTGTATCCTCTTTTCATTGCAGCATCCTTGAGCTGCTCTTCCGACCTACTGACCGCTATCATAAGCAAATCTTATCTGGAGGCACTTCACTATAATGAGAATGACTTACAACTGAATGATCCACTCTGCAGACCAAGAGTATCAAATGTTTTGGAATATTCTTTCCCTCTGAATAAATGTGGTACAATTAAACAGGTAATGTGACAATGATGTGTCCTGATGAGTTCAAGTGATCCCCAAATAGATGCATGCAACATCAAGGGAATTGAAGAATTGAAGGATGATGTTTTTATTATCATTCCCTAAAGTTTAATAATTACATAAAGAACAAATCAATGATGTTTAAACATTAAGGGACACAAAAGCTTAATGGTCTAATGAGAATTTATACATATGCTATTGGCATCTTCTAAATTTAGAAGACATTTGCTCAGAAGAGTTCAAAGCACTTTCTACCATATTCTCATTTATCTTTCATCTATTATTATAAAACGAGATGATAAATATGCTGCCTTGTTCATTCAGGCACTATTAAGTATTAGGGTTACAAAAACAAAAATGAAATAGTCCCTATCTCAAAGAGCTTACCTTTGTCTGAGAGGAAATAACACATACATAGATAAGTCAAAATGAAGTATATGCAAAATAATTTCAGGGAAAAAGCATTGTCAGTTGGGCAAGGCTGTGTGAAAAGGAGGCACTTAACACTGGGTTTATAAATGTGTATAAAGGAGGAAAGAAGAAAAGAATTTATTAAGCACCTACTTTGTGCTGGGTACATGCTAAGAGCTTTATGAATATTATCTCACTTGATCCTCACAACCACCCTGAGAAGGAAGTGCCTTATTCTCCCCATTTCACAGTGAAGAAACAAGGCAAACAAAAATTAAATGACTTACCCAGGGTCACAGAGCTAGCCATTTCTGAACTCAGTGTGGTGCTATGGAGAGAATGCTAGACTTGGGAGTCAGAAGCTATGGGTTCAGGTTCTGGCTCTGAGACTTAATATTTATATCACCATAACAAAGCCACTTAACTTGTCTGAATCAGTTTCTTCATTTGCAAAATGGTTCTGAGTACCATCACCCAAATCTACTTCACATGGCTGTGATGATCAGATAGGATAATGGACTTGACAACGCTCTGGCAAAATGTATAATGATACATAAATGTAAGTAGTATTACTAAAGTTACTTGGCCAAGGTAACATGACCAGCATCAGAATTTAGAGATGAGTGTTCAGATTTCTAGTCTAATCACTTCTATCCACCAGGTTCAGTTTTTAAAATTTCCTGGCCTGTAGCAGGAGGGTATGAGCTCTCACCATGCTGGGGAGGACAAACAAAACAACCCCCCCCCCCAAAAAAAACCTGAACTAAAATGCTCAACAGGATGAACAAGAAGAAAGATGTTACAGAAACAGCAAAAAAAAAGAATCAAGTTAATTGGTACTATAAACAAGTGTAGGTGTTGTTGTGTCAGTGTTTACGTGACAAAGATAATAAATCCATGTAACTAGGACCCTTGGGGGCTACTACCAGATTACCCAGGAAACATTTCATTGTTGTTCACTGGGTGTAATAAACATTCTATACAGTATTCATTGATCAAATTGGCAATACAGTTATGTCCAATGAAGAAAACTGTTTATCATTCTGTTTAACCTATTTAATTCTTTGCTATTATTCTTTTTCATTGCCCCAGTATTTTCTGATGCAAAAACAAATTTGGTTTCTATTGCACATTGTACTTATGTAGAAGCTTTAATCCAAGCTTTTTCTTTTTGTCTGTTTTTAAATGAGCATTGTCACTATTTTCGGAAATTTTTTGTGCCTAAGTCTGGATTAGTGCTGCAATTGTTACATAAAATGTTACTTCCGTCTGGTCCTACAGGTCGAGGGTCACACCATTACTTACACGAACTTCATCACTATTACTAACTCCTCCAGCTCTGCGGTGATTACTCGTAAGAAACATCTCCAGATTATTCTGAAATGTGAGATGGAAAACAATTCCACCGTAGAAATAATGTACATAACAGAAGATGATATAATTAAAAATATAAGTGCCTTGGGGAAATATAATATAAGCATGGCTTTTTACGAGTCAGAATCCTTCAACAATCCTTTACTCAGTTCACCATACTACGTGGATTTGAACCAAACACTCTTTGTTCAAGTCACTCTTCATGTGCTAGATCCAAATCTCGTGGTGTTCCTTGATACCTGTATAGCATCTCCCACGTCTGACTTGGCCCCACCGACATATGACCTAATCAGGAGTGGGTATGTATTTATATAATCATATTTAGCAATAGCATTGTTGTTTTTTTAGAATTTTAATGGTGTATTTTATTTTTAAATTATATGCATTTCCCAGTGTCTCCTCTCTCCTACTTTCAGAAAGCCACTCAATATAAGAGAATGAAAAAATAAGGGAATAAAAAAGTTCAGCAAAGCCAACCAGTCAACTATGACTTTTTTTTTTTTTATAAAGTCTGTCATTGTTCCACATTGCAAAGGATACTTTTTCATATCTCTTTACTTTGGGGTCAAGCTTGATCATTATAACTTTGCAGCAACAAAGCAATAAAAAATGAATACAAAAACATTTTAACACCCAAGACAGGTGCATTTTTCTTATATGCTATAAGTATTTTAATAATTATTGTAAATTAACAAAAAAAAAGCTTAAAATGTAACTCTTTGATGTGAACCTAGAAGGTTCAAAAATTGAATGGGAAATTAATTTGACCTATATGTTTTCTGGTGTTAAAAATGTGAGATTTATAATTTTTAATTGAGTAATTTTATGACAGTTAATATCTAAAGAGTCACTCAAGATAAAGTAATTCCAGTTGGATCCTCTATTCTTTAAAGTTTGGGGATCTATACACAAGGCCTTTGCTGGTGGAAATAAATTTGTTGTTAGGATTGTTTTATGCTAGTTTAACTTTTCTTCTAAACTTGTGTGTATCTTCACTATAAACTAAGCAATTAGTTCAAACTTTTGTCAATCTCTGAAAATAGCCTATCCTTTCAAAATATTATACTATTAATGTATCTCCACAAAGTACTACTCTGGTGCTTCATCAAGACAAAGAGATGACCCTGGGTTCTCAAAGACAATGCCAATGGAATGAAAACTCTGGCAAATTTTTACCATGCTGGAAGCTTCAAATATGGCCTTAGCAACAAATTTAGTCTTTAAATATGAAGAGTATAACCAGTAGGCTGATTACTTGGTGATGAATTTTTTGATCCATGACAACTTATTAATCAAAAAAAAAAAAAAATACAAAATAACTTTCTGTCCTGTGTAGCTACTTCTGCAGTGACAACGACCAAGAGGGTGAAAAGGGGGCAGACAGGACTAAGAGTTAAGTTTTTATAAATTTATCTGAGAGTTCTCTAAATGAAAGATCCCAATGGTCCAATGACCAACATGAAGACATATTACTTAAGAAAATCAATCATGTCAATCTACAAATGAAACCAAGAGACAAAAGGAAGATATAGCCACATGGAGGAGTGGCCCATGGGTTCTTCTAAGAGGAAAAATAAAAGAGAGGACAAAGTTGATTTTCCCATGCATCTTCAAAGGAAGCAAGAAGCATCATTTTATGGGATATTTCATCATCTCATATTGTAGTGCTTATAAGTATTCGCAAAAAGATCACCTTAAAAATAAATTCATGTTGGGTGTCAACATCTGTTGTAGATTGTGAAGAGATTGAGGTCTCCCTTCAAAATTACAACAACATATTCTTGCTACTTGATAACTTAAATGCAAAAGTAAGCATAAAGGAGAATGGGAAAAAATGTTGGAAAATATAGCTTGGGAGTAAGAAAGAAAAAGGTCAAAGGATTGTAGATGATACAGAAGCCTCATACTTCTATCTCATTGGTCTGTCCCTTGAAAAAAAAATTGGAAAGCACTGGATACAGCAAGTCCCAAATAGCACATTACAAAATGAAATTTATTCCATTTTAACAGATAATGAATGACATGGAAGTTATTCCCTTTTTGAATATTGTCAGACTACTGACTTGTTAGAACAAAAAACAAAATTAATAATAAAACTAGAAAAATATAAGATATGCAGCTAAAACTGCTCATATCTATTTAAACAAGCTGTTGATGCCCCCGAAATGGGAATTGGAAGAGGAAAGGACACTGATAGGCTTTAACCATTTCCAAAAGAAGTTGATGTAAATTAGTCTCCAAAACAAGGAATTTAAAAGAGCTTAGAAGCCACCTTGGCCAACAAACATTTGATCTTCTTACCAAGCAAAAAGATGGCAACTAAAGGCAGGACCAGTTTAGTGCCAACTGGTCTATAAAAACTATCAGATGACGATAAAGAGCACAGGTAGTATTTTGAGTCATAAAATGACAAACACCACAGAAGGAAAAACTAGTTTAAAGTAAACTTGGTGAGAGATCCAATTAAGCAGTCATCCCATTCAGGAATAAAACTGAATAGGTAAAAATGAAGGGGGGAAAAAAATTTTTTAGCTAATTATTTTCCCATCAAAAACAGCTGAGCCAACCTACTGAACTCTCATGGAACATTCCCAGATGCACCACATGAGGAAATAGAAATGGAATGGAATAAACAAACATGTAGAACAACTGGACTAGAGTAAATGGAACCATAGTCAGTTGATCAAGAAGCATTTATTAAGTGCCTGCTATGTGAAAAACATTGTGCTAAGCATACAGGACGCCTGAGTTGAAGGCAATGGTTTTTGAGCCACTAAAAGACTTAATTTTCAAGTTATCTGAAAAAGGGAAGGAATATAGAAGCAATGGGATTGGACATATTAAAACACTACTGTCATGGGTGTTTTTCCCCCCAGAAGTGGCAACAATTTTACACCGAGCCTTCCACATTCTTACTAATTCCTTTTTTGACTAACAGTACACAAAGGAAAAGATCTAAGGATAGAGGTAGTCAATCTTCTCTGAGCTCATAAAACTCCAGAGCTGAAAAGGACCTTGACTAAACTCATGATTTCGGTTTATTATACTAGCATTCTGACAAATAGCTAATTAATGCAAACTTGTCGTTCTCTTTTTTGTTTAATTCTACATTCCCAAGTCTCATTTTACTTGGGAGTTGAGGAGAGGTCAACAGCCAGGCCATTGAGAAAATTGTCATCTGTACCCAATATTTGAGGTTAAAATCATTTTTTTTAAATTTCTCTATAAATTCTGTTACAGATGTAGTAAAGATGATACTTGTAACATCTATCCCCTATCTGGACACTATGGAAGATTTCAATTCAGTGCTTTTAAGTTCTTGAGAAGGCTTGGATCTGTTTATCTCCAATGTAAAGTTTTGATCTGTGAAAGTAATGACACACAATCTCGATGTAATCAAGGTTGTATCTCTAGAAGAAAACGAGCTATTTCTTCATATAAATGGAAGACAGAATCAATCATAGGTCCTATTCGTCTGAAGACAGATCATACTACAAGTAGCAAATCAGGTAAGCAACATGCTACTATTTATGAAGTAGGGAATCAAAAGTGAGAAGAAAATATTCAAGTGTTGTCATTCTTGCAGCATGTAAATTTCAAGCTTAAAGGTTTTAGAGAGAACTATTTTGACAAAGTCCTAAATGAGTTATCAGTCATTTTATTTTCAAAATGTCAATTTTAAACTACTCTCTCTATTTGCTAATTACTAAGATATCAAAACATTTTAAATATTCCATACATAGCTCCATGACGACTATATGATTTTAATTAAATTTGCAGTATTTCAGCTGTATATTTGAATCTTCCCACTAAAATGTCATTCTGCCACTTCCCCAAGGAGTAGAGGTGTCCCTGAGTCTTTGAAAGCTCTGTCGGTGGAGCATAAGTTCTGGCAGGTTCTACCTGACCTTCCTTCCCCACTCCAATCCTCTATACCCCCACTCCTGGGGGGGAAAAAAAAGGCTTTGACTAAGTATTGTCTTGGGGCCAATTTCACACTCTACTCCAAATCGCCTAGGATTTGGGACCTGTAAGTCCTTGAAAATGCATGGCTCAAGCATTTTTTAAAAGGAAAAACAAGCTATCTTTGAAGATAAAACTATGATTTAGCATTAAAAGTTTAGGGGGGAGAAAAATCTAGCTAGGAACAAACCTGGCATATTACCATAGTAGAAAGTACACTAGATTTTAGCTGTGTTTGAACATCAAGTTACTTCATCCGTAATATGAAGACAGCAATCCATGTTCTATCTACCTTTGAGAAATGCTCCAAAAACCAAATGATAATAATGTATGTAAAAATCCTTCGTAAATAGAAAGTGTCAAATAATCTAAATTACGCCATGTTTTATTACCACTTCCAAAAATGTTAAAGTTCAGCATCTCAGTTGGCAGTGAACTTATTCTTATCTAGTCAAATTTTTAAACATACAACAACATATTCACTGGAAATATTTTAATCACTTGGTTGTAAAATTATCTTATATTAATTTGAAATTTAGGTATAGAAATTATACTGTTTGCATTTCAAAGAAAGTTAATCAGTTAAATGCTTGTGAAATAGATTTTACTCAGCATCGAGTCATTTAGTTACCATTAATGAGCAATGTTTTAATTTCAAAATTATGTTTGAATTCCTTGAATCCAATTTCCCAACTGTATTCAAAGCTCAATTAATGTTATATGGAAAAACTTCATTGTAAAATTCAAACTAACACATTCAATGCATCATTTGAAACGGAAGTATGAACAGAAAGCTAATTTTCAAATCTGCCCATTGTTCTTCCTGTTCACAGTAGGTGCCATCAAATTATCATATATGTTTGTGTATTTGTATGACTATATATGGATATATGTACAGGTGGTGTTGTTCAGTCGTTTTCACTCATGTCTACCTGTTCATGAACCCAACTTGGGGTTTTCTTGGCAAAGATACTGGAGTGGTTTGCCATTTCCATCTCCAGCTCATTTTACAGATAAGGAAATGGAGGCAAACAGGGTTAAGTGACTTGCCCAGGGTCGCAGTTATTTAAGTGTCTGAGGCCAGATCTGAACTCAAGAGGAGTCTTCCTGACTCAAGGCTCAGCGCTCTATTCATTGTGCCACCTAGCTACCCTATGCATGGATATGTATATATAAATGAACCGAAAATTTATATACTGTCAGTCTAACTCTGCTAAGTAATTTATTATGCTGAAAAAACCTTTTTCTTTTTCTGGATCTGATATCTTTTTTCTAACTGAAGAATTTCAGAATCAAGTCCACACAGAAGAAAGTCAACAGGCCCAGCCTTTCAGCAGTTTACATATTCTTTCCTTTATGGTCCTGTCTCTGAATGTGGCAATTGTGGGAGGATTGCTATTGAGACAGTACAGAAATCGTGGAACAGAATGCCAATACCAGAAGCTACAGAGTTACTGATGGAAGTGTCCAGCCTCAAGTGAGAAATGTTTCGCCAAAACACCTAATAAAATGTTGTTTTAGGGCTGGATAGTAATTAATACTGAGAATTTCTAAAATAAATCTGAAGGGAACCTAATAAAATCAATAAATTCCTACGACATTTTGGTTAAAGCATATTTCATTTAATGAAGCCCCTTTAAGATACCTTAAACTGAACAGCCTACCATATGGCCTTACAAAGAAATCCATGTCCCCATTAAGGCTACAGGAGTGCAATTCACCAAAATTACTGGTAAACATATGTATATATTTTATAATAAATAATGCCAAGGCTGTTTAAAATAAATACAATCCAAAACATGAACACAATTTTTGGTAAGGTATTTTGCACACAAAAAGGACAAAAGAGAGCTGGCTACCCTCTCAATTTTGTTTTTTACACATTCTAATGAAAACAGATTCACTTCTCCAAATAGTTTTAAGTACAAAATTAGACTAAGGGTTTTTAAGAAGTCTCTCTACCATATCTCCCCACATCATTTTTAATTTCAAAATCTAATTCACAATTACATGTTGGAAAAAGGTTTTTTATTGTTTGGGTTTTTGTGTTTAAACTGTAGATGAACACTCTATAGTAAGTATCCTATAGGACTTTGGATCACTTAGCCCTTTCATAAGGAACCAACTCAACAAAAATATTAACTAAGAAGAAATATCACATCTCACTAAAAAATGAGTCAAATTACCTTAAGCAAAAATATTATCTACCATTCAAATATGTGGAATAGTGGATTCCCATTCATCTAAAATAAGTGGTTTTCAGAATGAACAGATTTGTTGTTTTTAGAAATGAATATATTTTCTTAAACATATGTACTACTAGTAAATTCTAGAAACTGTGTGTCCCAAAGAGACCTCCAATGCCCTGACTCCATTGACTTAAACCCTGATAATCTTACAAAGTATCATTATTTCATATTTAGCCACTTCAGCAAATAACTGTGGAAGGAGGAACCTGACCCTGCACATACAAAGACTCTCACTTTACCAATCAGGAAAAGGGTTAGAATTAGCAAGCACAAATTAACATCACGGACATTGGACTTACTTAAGGATGACCAGAGCTAAAAATAATCCTATTAATGGGGATGCCAATGCCAATTTCTACTGCCCTATTCCATCCGACATAGACTGAAGGTTAATTAATGACCCCGTGGCTAATTAATTTACAAATGCCAAACACCAGATAGAGTTTTCTATCTCAAGTAACCCATACATGCTAGGTTTAGGAGGGTGATCTAAACATTCAAGTCTCTATGTCTGAGAATATTCAATTTTCCAATAATGTTCAATTAGAAATAAAACCAAACCAACACATCAATCAAATCTTTTTAAAAGCAGTTTTTCATAACTTTATAAATTACAAAACAATTAAGGTTTTCATTTATAGATATAGAAAAATGTTCCTCTCTTTAAAGGGTGTATAGAGGTCACAGTAAATTTTGTTAAGCTGAATTAGAATTTTAAAGTGGCTCTTTTAAAACAGCTTCTTTTTAAATAATAAAGCCACAGAAGAAAGGTCTTGTAAGTGAAAAATATTGCTAGTAAAAAACATCTTATGACACTAACAGGTTAACTTTTAGTGTACAATACTGAGAATTACAGTAACAAGTACATTAAAAAAATGAACACTGAGGTTGTTTTATGTTAACCAGATAATAACCCTTGGAAGGATATCAAACTGAATAATTTCCCTCCAAATCTTTTGGAGGTTTGGTTTTATGTGCATATATCTAGCAGGCATCTGTTGCTCAAAACAATATTAAGTAGTTATCGCTCGCCATTTGAGAGTCTTTCTCCAGAATCATAATGTTCTTGTGTCACCCGGGTAGATGTGGAATTGGAATTTTGCAGCAAGTTCATTAACAGAACAACTTTATTATCTATGTGCTCTTGGAGTTTGTACATACGCTGGTCAATGTAGTCCATAAGTTTCTTCTCCATTAGTTCCATATTTTTAGAAATTATCTTTTCCAAGTAGGAACATACAGGCTGCTGTTCTACTCTGTAAATAACAGAAAGAGAGAGTAAGGTATCGTTGACTAGTGTCATACAGCTCAATACCCACAATAATACACTTTTCTATTTAGATCCCTCACCTGTCTCCTGAGCTCCATGCCCATTCCTACCACAGCCAATGTGCCTTGCACAATTCAACGTGTCCAAAATGGAAATTAGTTCCTTCACCTGAAACTCACCCTGCCTTCACAACTCCCAATTCACAATACTTGCAGTTTCTTCAGCTCTTCACTCTTACTCCCACCATCTTCAACAGCTGTCAGATCTAACTGGTTCTGTCTCATTTTGAATATCCCACCTTTTTTTGCCACTCACACAGCTCCCCAGTTCATGCCCTTGTCTCTCCTGGACTATGGCAATAACTTCCTTATAGACTTCCTGTTTTTAGTCTCTCCCAATTTCAATCCATCATCCACACAGCTATCCAAACATCTTCCTATAAAGCACAGGTTTGAGCATGTTGTTCTCCCTTAAACACCTTCAGCCCTTACTGCTTACAGGATAAAAGAAGGCTACCTTTTCAGGCTTCATATTACTCCCTATCACATACTATATTCTAACCAAACTGGCCTATTTGCTGTTCCTTATAGTGCATCTCCAACACCACAGGTATGGACAGGCACTCCACCTACCTCCACATGCCTTTAAACAGGCTGACCCTCCCCTCCCACTCTCTATGCTTAGAAAAAACTTCTCAGTGCACTTCTTAGAAATCTTAGCTTGCTTCAAGGTTCAGGTCAGGTGCCACCTCCTACTTGAATCCTCTTCCAATCACCCAAGCTGTGAGCGCTTTCTCCCTGCTCAAATTATCTTTTACTTACTTGTCTGATTACATATATCCAACCAAGTAGGTCTACATAAGCTTCTTAAGAAGAGAGATGGTTTTAAACAATCAAGAATGTACATTAAATTGAATGTAACAAGAAAAAACCCTCAGTTTTTAGATTTAAACACATACCCAATAAATTACTCCATTGTCATTTCTTTCAAAAATCCCCCAGGTTACTTTTGAATTTCAAAATTCAAAAGAAAACTGGATTCCCAGCTTTAAAAAAAAAAGTTCCATATCCTTCTTCTAAGTAGTTCCACCCAAAGCCATATGTCACATCTGTGGACCTTAGGCAAGATTTAAAAAATTATTTTGTGGGTAACTGTCTGGTACAGCTTTGAACATTTATTTTAACATCACTAGACTAACTGGGTAACATGAAGAAAGGGGATGTTCTGGCACAAAAAATATGTACATTTATAAAAAGTAGTATTTACTAGACTACTATTGTTTCACACTGCCTACTTAAGCAGTTGCTTTTCTGCATCACCATGCAACTATTTAGTTAAAAGGCTATTTTGCTGTAATAACAGTAATGATGATAATAATACTATGACTATTAATAGGTCACAATTATAATACTTTAAGGCTTATCACTTTCTTCACAGAAATGTGATACAGTTAGTGCAAGTATTACCACAATTTTAAAAAGAAGGAAATGAACATTACTTAACTGAGCCTATAGATGATCTAGGACTTGAATGCAGGTGTTTACAAGCCAACACTAGTGTTATCTAGCACATACAACACTTCATCTCTCATCTCAGTGTCTTCGCACTGGCTGCCCCCATGCCTGGAATACACTCTCCTTAGCCCCAGCTCATAGAATCCCTCTTTTCCTTGTAAGATATACCTCATGCACCACCTTTCCTTATCCCCTCAAATGAGTGCCCTCCCTTTCACACTACCTTCTTTTAAGTATTTTGTATTTTTTTTCTTTCTTCTGCACATACATATGGATGACCTCGTGGTAGCAGAAGGTTAAGTAGGCACTGCTTCATTTGGTATACTTGTAACCCCAGGACCAAACACGGTGACTGCAAGGTAAAACTCACAGCATCTCCCTGACCTTCTGAACTGCCTAGGTGCTTCCCATCAAGCCATCACCCCTATCAGTGACAGCACACTCAGCATATGGAAATGCAACCTGGCTATGCTGTACCTGTGTGTCTATATCAATGCTAGACCTTGATGGCACAATAATATACCTAAATGCTTTTTGATGATTCTGAAATTCTAAGTCAGACATGACCTGTCAAAGGAAATTTACTGCCCTTTCCCCTTTCCCTATCACCCAACCCTGATAAAAACTCAAACAAAAATCAAACAAAAAATAAACCAACCAACAAAAAAGAATCTAAACCCAAACATAAGTGACATATAGACCTAGTTTCTGTTTTTGGTATTTTGGATTTTCCCACTGTCTCAAGATCAACATACAGAAAAAAATAATCATTTTCTATTCCATTTGCCCCCCCTCTTTCCTCTCCCTAATTTCTATTTAACAGTACCATCCACCATCATCCAAGTTCCAAAACTCAAGTCATTTTTGACTCTTTCCTCTACATGTGCCACATCCAATCAATTCACAAGTCCTACAAAATCTACTTCTGTAATAACTACATTCATGACCACAACCATGCCTCAGGCTTTCTTTCTTTCTCCCTTAGACTACAGCAATAGCTTCCTAACATTGCTCCCCCCGCCCCCCAACACTGGTTTGCCTGACCATTTCACACTACAGACTGATGCAAGATTAATCCTCCTAATCTATGGTTTTAATCACATGCACCCTACTGCCTATAAATTAGAAGTCTGAACCCTTACAAAACCAGGCTCCAGTAGACAAACTCCTTTTCCAATCTTTTTTACTTTTCTTCCTTTCATAGACCCTGTGCTCTAGAGAAATCGAACTGTTATTTCCTGAATGACTTGCCAATTTCTCTATCTTCATGCCTCCATTCTCTCTGGCTATGACTTTCCCAACACCCAAATATTTTCCATTGAAAAGCTTACCCAGTAGCAAAAAACTGGAAACAATGCAGATGCCCATCGAATAGGGAATGGCTAAAGAAACTATGGTACATAAATATACTATGGAGTATTACCGGGTTCTAAGAAATGTCAAATATAAAGCAATTCACAAAAAACATTCTGTAAACAGAATCAGGAAAGAATCGAAGGCTGTGTAATTTTAATGACCAAATTTCCCCCTCTCTTTTTTTTGCCATGGCGAAGAACTATAAATACTCTGGTTTGTTGAAGCATTTTCTCCCCCTCTTTATTTCTGTATTTTTTGTTACTTACTAGTGAAGGATGAGGAGATACATTCAGAAATGAAGGAAATGTAAACACAAAAGCTATTAAAAATTTTTGTTAAGAGGAAAATCTGCCTCTTTTAAGGTCCAGTTCAAAAGTAAACTCCTTTAGGGACACCTTTCTTGAATCCCACAATCAGCAATGATCTCTCACTTTTCTGAATGTCAAAGCACTAAGCCAATCTTAGGTATTTCACAGTCTATCTTATACTATAGTTGTATTTGTTTTATTTCTCATACTACATGGTAAGCTAAAGAGGTAGCAAAGTATAGTAAAAGACAGTAATGGACTTGAAAATCTGGAAACACCTGGATTCACATTCTCTTTAGATATTTCCTCACACTATAACCAAGAGCAAATCACCTAAGCTCTATGCATCTCAGTTTCATCATGAGTAAAATCAGGATGATAAAAATATTAAGCAGTTACTCACATTTCTATACGACTGATAATACCTGTATTACATACTATACACTATCAATAATACCTGGCTCACAAGGTGGTTGTGCAAATTACTTATGCAAAGCACTTTGGAAAACCTTAAAGAATTCAATAAATGTCAGCTATTACAATTAAACTCCTCAGGAGTTAAAAATAATGCCTTAATCTTCTCTGTATTGCCCCTGAGTGTTTCACACAGTCTTATACTTAATATTCACTTAAAAAATGAACATTGAATAATTTCATGCCAATACAAACAGCATTGCTATGAACAAGAACCAGAAAACGATAATGTGCCACGGAAAATTAAAGGACATAAATCAGTTTTTCTCCAGCCATCATTCCCAAAACAATAATGTCATAAGACTTACCCAATGCTTACAATCCCTTCATTTGGCTTTGTACTGTTTCCCTGAGGCTTATTCTTGTCTCCTACACGGAGATGGTTCACTTGACTACACAAGTTTTGAAGAAAAGGAAGCAGCTCAGAACTAGGTATATTTGAGTTATCATTTGCTTTCTTTTGCAACCAAGAGGATACTACAAATTTAAGATCATTTTCAGGAAGAATGCTGTTTTGTTGTGTACTTTTATATTCTTCGAGATCTGGAATATTTCCTCTAGCAGGGAGTTCTGTGTTTTTGTCAATGTAAGCTTTTATGTCTTCATTGATTGCTCCAGATGTCAATCCAGACTTAAAATGAAAGGGTGTAGTGGATGACTTGTGCAACCCATCAAGCATACGTTCATCTCCAAAAACAGCTGGTTCTTTCTTTCCCAAGAGACACTGAAGTTGCTCTTCTAAAGGAATACAATTCTAACAGGGGGAAAAATATATATATATATATAATATATATATATGTTATATAATATATATATTATATATATAATATATATATGTACACACACACATATAGAGAGAAAATATATTTTAAAAGAAAATACTTACTTTGCTTATTAGCAGTACTAAAATAATTTTTTACTTTTGAAGTTTTACAGCTTTAATTAGCTCCATCACCACAGTAAGAATTTTCATTTGAGTGAGTTGCTCTAAAGGCAGTACTCTCAAAATGCCGCTGTCTGTGTGGCCTTACTAACTACACCTCTCTGAACCTCTTTTTTCTCCTCCTTAATGTTCCTTTAAAATGAGTTTTGACTAAATGATCTAAGGTCTTTTCTAGTTCTACTATGACTCTGTAACTCTCCAATTATAAAAAGTTAAGTTAACCATGAACTACTTTAGGGTAGCTCTCTGGTCCTCTTCTGAAAAGTCATTTTTTCTTATTCAGGGATGATGCAAAGCTCATAATTATTTTTAATATTGCTGCAAAATCTCATAGTAATAGGTTTATGGTAGCATACATATAGCCAATCTTCAAATGTGGCTAATAATAGTAATTTCATAATGTCAGTGCTCTTACTACTACAATACAAGTGTAAGCTGTATGTATATGTGACCAATTCCCCCTTCTTCAAACTATCTTTTTGACACAAGGAACAAAATGCCAAACAAATGTTTTTGCCATGGTATTCTTATTCTTGAACTATAAAATGCTCTTTTTTTTAATAAGAAAATGACTTTAAAGATATTAACTAGTTAATGCATTCCAGGGTGAAAAAAAGATGATATCAACTAGTTAATGTATTTCAGGGTGAAAAAAAGACCCTCATATTTTATTATAGAACATTTTATCAAGTGTTGCTCTGATAGAGAAACAACCTGGCAAGTCTGAACTTAAAAAACTAAGGCCTAGGGCAGCTAGGTGGCACAGTGGATAGAGCACCGGCCCTGGATTCAGGAGGACCTGACTTCAAATCCGGCCCCAGACACATAACACTTAACTAGCTATGTGACCCTAGGCAAATCACTTAACCCCACTGCCTAACCTCCCTCCCCCCCCAAAAAAAGCTAAAGCCCCTAAAACATCTTCTATCTCTGTGGTATCATAGTTTCTTCTAGCCTAGTCTTTAAAATTACAATTTTAATCCCTCAAAATGACTAATTCATTAGAAATTAATATCTAGATGACATACTCTGAAAGCAGGCAATGCACATGATTTTTTAAAAATTCCTAAAAAGTAACTGCTAAATCAATGTAAAAAAGGGAAAATATACAAAGATTCAATGTATTTTTTGATGGAGATAGTCTGTTCATTTCCATTAATTTCTAATCAGTATGCTAATACTGCATGATGACTTACCCGTTGTTGAAATCGAACCATGTTCATGAGTTGTTGAGCACCAGGTGATAATTTTGACCCCATGGATTCCATCATAGTTTGAACTCTGTCTAGATCTATCCTTGATCCTACAGCAGGAAAGCTTGTTGAAGAATTTGCAGAAACTGCCCTTACTTGGACTACAATTTTACTCACAAATATACTTTGTTTATCACCAAAAGAGAGCAGCTGTTAAAAAACGTTTTTCAGAAAATTAGAATGAGATAGTTATACATTCTTAATACATCTGAAATGTTAATAATATTAACTCTACAAGAATGAAATTTTCCATTTTTTAATATTTGTTTCAATTATTTTAATATCAATTACAGTTCTTATTTATCCCATCCCTGATACTCTCAAACTTGCTATTAAGCTATTCCACAGAGTAAAATTTAATATAACAGCAGCCTGTCTTTGTTCCTGTTCAGGGGGATTATCTACCAAAATCCCCAAGAGTTCCTTTTAAGTTGGGTCGACTGCTGGGAACTTTATGACAACGTTATCATGAGTTTATGAGGATATAAGACAATGTTTTAACACCATTAACTGCTATAATTGGGTCTGACACGCAGTCCTTCTGGTTCAATATTTTGGCTTAGACAGTTAACATAAAGGTTTGTGTTGTAGAAGGCTGTCCTTTTATAAAGCAAGGTTATCCTTCCTCAATCTCAAAAAAGTTAAGGATACCTTAGTACCTCAGGTATTTTGGTTGCCTCATAAAGAAAAAACAAAACAAAACAAAATAAAACAAAACAAAAAAACCAAGTTCATGAACCCCAGGTTAAGAACCTCTGGTCTAAACTATTTATAATAATTTCAATCAATATCACCACTTGATAGTAATGAGTTACATAAAGTTTCATACTGGCTATGTGAAATAATAATTCTTTTCATTTGTCCTTAACTCTCTCAAGGTTCTAGAACCCCAAAGAATATGATTAAAAAAAAAAGTTGGGATTCACTTGATTCATAAAGGATTAATATGAATTTTCCAGGCTGAAGAGTCCTAATCTTTTTGCTATGTCAGAATAAAGCAGTCCCCACCTCCTGAATGTTTTGTTGTCCTGTAGCAAATTCTATCCAACTATGTTCGTTTTTTCTTAAGAATTACTTACAGACTCCTATTGGTTCTAATTCTTACTTACAACACCACTAATGTGAAAATGTTTAATGGGAATGTATATGTATAGCCTGTATCAGATTGTGCGCCGTTTTGGGGAGGGTGGTGGGGAGGGAGGAGGAGAAAAACTTTAAACTCAAAAGCATATGGAAGTGATTGTTGATAAATCAAAATAAATTAATTTTAAAAAAAAGAATTACTTACAGAACTGCAGCGTGCACCAAGTAAATAAAAGTAAAAACATATTCTATTACTTTCAGTACCCTTCAAAACATATCTGACTAGTCACAAAAGTACAAATATTACATATACCAACAGCTCAAAAATCCAAGCAAAAAACAGAGAATTTTAGGGAAAAAACTTTATAAATTTTCATAATTTCAAACAAAAACTGAGTAATTGTTTAGTTGATTAGTCGTGTCCAACTCTTTGTGACCTCATTTAGAGTTTTCTTGGCAATGATACTGGAGTGGTATGCCATTTCCTTCTCCAGCTCATTTTACAGATGAGGAAACTGAAGCAATCAGGGTTAAGTGATTTGACCAAAGTCACACAGCTAGTTAAGTGTCTGAGGCTGGATTTGAACTCAGGTCCTCCGGCGCCAGCACTCTATCCACTCCACCTGGCTTCCCCAAATTAAGTAAATCTAATTCAATTAAAATAGCTAATGATAAGAGCTAACATATATTTTGCACTTTAAGGTTTATGCAGTACTTTACACATATTATTGCATTTGGTTTTCACAACAACCCTGTGAGGCAGTAAAAATCCCCATTTTACAGATAAGGACATTGAGGCTAAGATAGATTAAGTGACTTGTCTAGAACGACACAGCAAATAAGCATCTGAGGCAGAATTCAGACTCAGGTCTTCCTGCCTCTAATCCCAACATACTCCAGTCACTGCACCAAAATGAAAAATTAAAATAGTAAACTAACTTTAAACATGAAAATTAATTCTTTAAAACAATATGTTCTAGCTGTGTGACCCTGGGCAAGTCACTTACCTCCAACTGCCTAAAAAGAATGTTAATGAAATGTCTTACCTTAATTTTACAACAGTCTGAGGGGCATTCTAATTTTAGGTATTTCTTATACAAAGTAATCTCGTTTTCACTAAAAAAAAAAAAAAAAAAAGAAACAATCATTTTTTATTCGATGCATTGTCACTTTTTAAGAGTTTACATTTTGTGCATACCCTTTGACCCAGCAATAGCACTTCTAGGGCTATATCCCAAAGATATCATACAAATGGGAAAAGGACCCACATGTACAAAAATATTCATAGCAGCTCTTTTTGTGGTGGCGAAGAGTTGGAAATTGAGAGGATGCCCATCAATTGGAGGATGACCAAACAAGTTGTGGTATATGAACGTAATGGAATACTACTGTGCTATAAGAAACGATGAACAGGCTGACTTCAGAAAAACCTGGAAAGACTTGTATGGTCTGACGCTGAGTGAAGTGAGCAGAACCATGAGAATGTTGTACACAATAACGGCCACGCTGTACAATGACTAATACTGATAAACTTAACCCTTCCTAGCAATACAAGGATCTAAGACATCTCCAAAGGCCTTATGATGGAAAATGCTATCCACATCCAAAGAAAGAACTACGGAATTTGAATGCAGATTGAAGCATATTATTTGCTAATTTTTTTTCTCTTCTATCGAGTTTTGTTTCCTCTTTCTGGAGGTTCCTCCTATTGGTTCTAATTCTTACTTACATCACTAATGTGAAAATATGTTTAATAGGAATGTATATGTATAGCCTATATCAGATTGTGCGCCATCTTGGGGAGGGTGGTAGGGAGGAAGGGGGAGAAAAATTTTAAACTCAAAAGCCTATGGAAGTGATTGCTGATAAATCAAAATAAATTAATTTTTAAAAAATTTAAAAAAAAAGAATTTACATTTTAAAGTTAAATGGTAATGAACCAACATTTAAAAACTACTGGTACTGTTTCCTAACACTATGCCACTGATTCAAGATGGTAACAGGACAAGGAAGCAATCAGCAAATCTTTCAGTTTGGCTAGCTCAAAAGAAGTTAACGAAACGAAGCTGCTCCTGTTGCTTAGTCATTTTCAGCTGTGTCCAACTGTCCCTGACCCCATTTGGGGTTTTCTTGGCAAAGATACTGGAGAGGTTTGCCATTTCCTTCTCCCGAATTTTACAGATGAGGAAAATTGAGGCAAACAGGGTTAAATGACTTGCCCAGGGTCTAAAACTTTTAAGTGTCTGAGGCTGGCTCTGAAATCAGAAGGAGTCCCAGCACTCAGATAAGCACTCTATGCACTGTGGATATCCAAAATGGGGTCACAAAGAATTGGAACTGAAAACAACTAAACAAAAACTGTGAAATTTTAAATTGGAAAGGTGGCTTGGACTTAGATTAAGGAGAACCTTCAATGCCATGCACATCCCAAGGGAAATTCTGTGTTATTCAGTAAGGAATGGGGAATCACTAAAGGTTTTTAAGCCAGAAAAGGATTTGATTAGATCCATGTGTTAGGAAGATTAACCTGGCACTACAGTGTGAAGGATAAATAAAAAAAAGGGAGCCTGGACACAAGGAGGCAATTTAAAAAGTTAGTAAAATAGTCTAGATTTAATGAGTGTCTAAACCAAAGGAGCGAAGAGGGAGTAGAAAAGAAGGGGTTGGATTCAAAAAATATTACCAGGGTAGAATGGACAGACCCTGGACACTGACTGGATGTAGGGATGAGGGAAAAGGATAAATCAAAGATGAAGTCAAGGTTTTGAACATGGAAAACTGAGAGACTGGTGGTGCCAAAAATAGAAATAAGGAAACTGAGAGGTGCAAGTTTGAGAAAGATGATGATGATTGTGGTATGGGACACATAAACTTGAGGGGTGGGTGGGAAACCTAGGTGAAAGTTTCGATGAGTTAAAAATGTGAAACTTAAGGTCAGGAGGACAAAGGGAAGGAAAGAAAATCCAGTTCTTAAGCACCTGGAATGACTTGGAAGTCATCTGAAGAAAGATGACAAACAATTGAAGGAGTTGTAGTGGCAAAGGAAAAAAAACTTCTAAAGAAAGCATTTCGGGGGTCTAGAAAAGGAAGAACCAAAAGAAACTAAAAAGCAAGAATCAGAGAAAAAAAGAATAACCAAGAAAACAATGTCACATAACACAAGAAAAGAGAAAGTGGTCAAAAATCTCAAATGATGCAAAAAGATTAAAGAGAATTAAAGAGTCACTGAACCTGGCCTCAAAATATACTCTACTGAGAATATTATATAGTTAAACTTTTGGTCAAAATACTAAAAAATCAATTAGTTATTAAGAAATGGAATATTCAACATGAGTAAAAACAAGCTAATTATCTTTCTGCCTAATCTACTCCTCCTTGCAACTTTGTTATTTTGATCAGCAGTCCCCCTACTGAGCCAGTTTCTCATCTTTGAAACCTTGGACTGATCCTTCCCTTTTCCTTCACCTCCCATATCTAATCGTTTAACAAGTCCTGTCTTATTTCAACTCTGCACCATCACCCTCAACCATTCCTTTCTCTATTCCCACTGTCATCACCCTATTACCACCGGTCTGGATTACTGCAGTAGCCTCCTAATAGTTCTTCCCACTTTGGGACTTTCTCTACTCAATTCATCATTTATACTGCTACAAGAATAATCTTTCTTAGACATACAGATCAAGTCACACTACTACTCTGTTCAAAAATCTCAATTACCTGTTGGGTACAGTTCAGTCTTTTTTCATTCAATATTCACATCTGATACCTTCCCCCTGCCTTTCTAGCCTTCTCTTATTTCGTTTAATATACTCCCTGCTCCAAGCCAAGATACACCACACATTGTTCACAGACCTGTAGCTTTCTAACAAGCCTTTGCTGACACTACTATCTATACGTAGATTGTCCACCTATTAAAGTCCTACCCATTCCATAAAGCCCAATTTAAAAGCTACCTGAACCATGAAGGCTTCTGTGACCCTCCTGGGTCAGTGGTAATATTTGCAATCAAAATAATGGTAATTCACATTATTATAATGTTTTAAAGCTCAAAGTGACTTACAAACATTATTTCCTTTGATTCTTACAACAACTTCTGAGGTAGGTACTACTGATCTTATTTGTCCCATTTTACAGAAGAAAAAATGGGGAATCAGGGTTAAAGGAGGCAGGGAGAAAGTGAAAGAGAAAAAGAGAGAGAAGGGGGGGGGGAAACAGGACAGTGAGAAATACAAAGTTTGTAACCATAACTGTGAAAAAAATTTTACAGCAAGTTTCTCTGATAAAGACCTCATTTCTCAAATACAGCAGGCCTACACAACCTGTGGTCCACCAAAGGATTTCAGGCAGCCCGCAAAAAAATTGACGTTTTCCTCTACATTTTTCAAGGGCTGACCTAAATCCTTTGGTGGGCCGCAGGTTGTGTAGGCCCGATACAAAGATTTGAGTCCAATTTATAAAAATAAGAGCCATTCCCCAATTGATACATGGTCAAAGGATATGAACAGGCAGTTTTCAGATGAAGTAATCAAAGCTAGCTATAGTCATATGAAAAAATGCTCTAAATCACTAACTGACTAGAGGATTGCAAATTTTAAAAACTCTGAGGTACCACCTCACACCTATCAGATTGGCTAATATGATAGAAAAGGAAAATGACAAATGTTGGAGGGGATGTGGGAAAATCAAGACACTAATGCACTGTTGGTGGAGTTGTGAAGGGATTGAACCATTCTGTAAAGCAATTTGGAGCTATGGCCAAAGGGTAATAAAACCCATGCATAGCCTTTGACCCAGCAATACCACTACTAGGTCTATATCCCAAAGACATTTAAAAAAAGAGGGGTGGGGGCGCTATTTGTACAAAAATATTTATAGCAGCTCATTTGGTGGTGGCAAAGAATTGGAAATTGAAGGAATGTCCATCAACGGGGGAATGGATGAACAACTTGTGGTATATAATTGTGATGAAATACTGTTAAGATAGATCAATCAAACATGGGTGTATGGGGGTATGTGTGTGTGTGTGTAATACATAAGACAGATCAATCAATCATGGGTGTGTGTGTGTGTGTGTGTGTGTGTGTGTGTGTAATACATAAGTACTATAAGAAATGATGAGCAAGATGCTCTTAGAAAAGCCTGTAAAGACTTAACATGAATTCACATTTAAAGTTAAATTAGCAGAACCAGAACACTATACAGAGTAAGAGGAAAACTGTACAATGGCCAACTATGAATCACTTAGCTATTCTCAGCAATACAGTGATCCAAAACAATTCCGAAGGACTTGTAAAGAAAAATGCAATCCATCTCCAGAGAAAGAACTGATGGAATCTGACTGCAGATCAAAGCATATTTTTTTTACTTTATTTTTCTTATGGTCTTTTTTTGGTCTGTTTTTTCTTTCACAACATGGCTAATATGGAAATGCGTTTTGTATGACTGTATATGTATAATCTGCATCAAATTGCTTGACTCCTCAATGAGGGGGGAAGGAAAGAATTTGAAACTCAAAATTTTAAAAAAAGAATGATAATTATTTTTCCATGTAACTGGGGGAAAAATAAAATATTAAATAAATATATTAAAAAAAAGATAAAAAGAGCTACTGTGAACAAAAAATTCATTATCCTTTGGCCAGCCAGGTTAATACTCACAGCTGTTCAGCTTGGTAAGACTTATTGGGGCATATGCCACAATGACACAACTTTTGAGAATCTAGGGTTACACTCCCATAACAGGATTTGACTTCAAAATTTAATGGAAGTAAAAAAAAATAATAGAATTAAAAGTAAAATTGGCATCTCAAACTCTCCTTCATTGGCTTCAAGTCAGAAAATGTAGCTTAAACTCTATTATCTCTCCTTCCCAATCCATATGGCAAAAATCACTAGAAGTCATTCTTGTCCCTCCCTCTCCCTCAATCTTTAATGATTCCCCACCGCCTATTAATCAAAGTCAACAAGGCTCAAATTCCTTAGCCTGCCATTCATTTTCCTTTTTTTAATGTGTTTTGATTCATTTTGTTTTTATGTTATAATCACTTCTCAGTAATTCCCCCACCCTCTGTCATAATGACTACTGAAAAAGTTAGGCAAACCACCTGACTCCACACTGGTACTTATGAAATAACAACATTCCACACTTACCAAAAGAAATATCAGTAGTCTGGAACCAGAAATAGTCATTGCATTGATTTGAATTGTGCAGGCTTCTAATGATGTCTTAATTTACATTATCATAGTCATTGTGTAAATTGTTCTGCTGGCTTTGATTTCTTCATCATTAGAACCGGTCTCACATTTCTCTGAACCACTCATTTTCATCATTCCTTGTGGTAAAGTAATAATCCATAACATGCATACACCAATTTGTTCAGCCAATGCCTAATAAATAGGTTTTTTCTGGGTTTTTTGCTATTACCAAAAAACATTGTTGTGAATATTGGTGTTATAGGACATTTATTTCTCTCACAGGCCTCGTTGAGTTTGGCTCTTTGGTTCAATATGGATGAACAGTTAAGTAATTTTCTTATGTGCTTCCAAATTCCAGTTAGTCTTAATGAACTTCCCCAAAAGTATATTAGTATTCCAGTCTTTCCATAACTCAATCACCAGACTCCCTTTCTATCCTTCAAATCTTTCACTTCACTCTCCTCTCTCCACATACAATCCAGCTACATGGGCCTACCTGCTGTTCACACGTCACTAGGCCTGGCATACAGAAGACCTAAATTCAAATCTCATATCAGACATTTATTAGCTATGAGACCCTAAGCCAGTCACATCACCTCTGTTTACCTCAGTTTTCTCAACTATAAAGTGGGGATAATAATAGCATCAACCTCCTAGGGTAGCTGTAAGGTTCAAATGAGATAATATTTGTAAAGGGTAACTTAGCACAGGGATGGGAAACCTTTGGCCTCAAGGCCACATGTAGCCCTCTAAGTCCCAAGTGTGGCCCTTTGAACCCAAACTTCCAGAACAAATCCACGGGCTCTTTCACTGAACCCAAACTTCCAGAACAAATTCATGGGCTCTTTCACTGAACCCAAACCAAATCCGTTAAGGATTTGGGCTGTGAAGTTTGGGTTCAAAGGGCCACACTCAGGACCTAGACAGCCACATGTGGCCTTGAGGCCACAGGTTCCCCACCCCTGGCTTAACAAAAGGCCTAGCATACAGTAGGTGCTCTAAACACCTTTCCCTTTTCTCCTCCATACTTTTTCACTCCTTGTTAGCCATGCCAAGAATGTTGTCCCTCCTCAACCCTGTGTCCTGGATTCCCTGGCTAATCTTAAATTTCACTTTCTCTAGGAAGCTCCAATCCCCATAATGCTTTCTCTGAGAGACTGCCTTCCATTTACTTTCTATATATATCTTCTAGATGCACAACTATTTGCAGTTTGTGCAAAAAACAAAGACCGTTTTTTGCCTTTCTTTGTATTCCTAGAACTTAGCACAGGGCCTGGGGTACAGCAGGCATTTAATGTTTGTTGACTGGAGAAGCTCTAGGCTGTATTAGTGAAGAAAATAATCACATAGAAAGGAAATTATAAATCTTTCACAGTATAAAAGTATCCAGTACTTTGTGTAGTCATGTTATTTCTCCTAGTAGAGTTTAGGTTTATAAAGAGCAGCACACTGTTCATGAGGCAGAAGTGTCCAACTTACAAACATTATTTATAGGCAGAGTTATCATGGCAAGAATGTCCTGCCTCTAATTCCTTATATTACTTGCCTGTCACTGTAGGGAGGTTCCTGCTTCCCTCCAGGGGGAAAAAAGGCAGGAACAAAGGGAAAAGAGAATAATAGGGTGAAATCATTCAAGAGTAGGGAGAGGAAGAACCCTTCCTGCCCCTGTTTGGGGGGGGGGGGGAGACTGTTACTTGGAAAGGGAACTAAAGACTAGGGTTATTTCCAACTTTCCATTTTGCCAAATAGATCTCAGTATACATTTTCCCCTAGAAACAACAGGAAAATACTATCAATTCAGCTGCATTTTGAGTTAAATAAGCTTTTGAAGAATGATGTGGAAACTCAGCCAACACATAGGATGTTGTTTATATGGGAAAAAGCATTTGAAGTTCTAAACAACCAGCCTGAAAGCAAACTTTTGGACTACAACCCATTTGAAAACTGAAGGCTGTATTATGAAGTGCAAAGAGCATTAGAATCACAGCTGGGAGACCTGGGCCCTGGTTTGGATGACATCACTAGCTACCTGTACTCTCTGGAGCTTGTTTTCCTACCTGTTATGGGGCAATCGGGCTGGAGTGGGCAGGAACAGAAGTTCCGAGATCCCTTTTAATCTCTAAAATGCCGATTTTTCAGTACATCTTTGTAACCCCAACAGTACCATGTGTGTACTTTCTCAGTAAACATTTGAATTATGAATTTGATATTGACATCAGGGTCAATGATGAATCAAAGAGCTGGGATAAGTAAAATATAAGCAAAAGATTAAAAAAAAAAACTTCAAATTTTAAAGGCACAAACCCGTTATGCTGGACAGTACAAACACTCTCTCCTCTACCGGTTCCACAGTATTCCTCTCTGGCATACACTTCCATATTCCTGGCTTGACTTAAAATCCCAAGTGAAACTATTTCTTCACATCTGTGAGGATTACATTTCAGGTACAGGAAGCAGGAACTTTCATCTTCATTGTCCACTTTCCTCTTCAGAAGCACAAGATCCTCACTGAAAGATTATTTGTTTTTAATGTATATTTAGTTAACAGTATGAGTTATTATTAGATATCATTCCTTTCGAGATTTTAATACCAAGTTCTGCCCACAAGCTGAAAACTGTATCTCCAGTCCAGGATGACAAACTTCTAGCTTCGCTGGCATATCACCGAACTCCCCTTCTTTTTTTATCTCTGCCTTCATTTTCTTTTAGTGGGAAGCAAAAGAAAAATATAAAGTCCTTTTCAATTCCATGAGAGATGGAAAAAGTTGTTTTTTGAAAACTAAACAAGTGGTCATGAATACACAAACACTTCCCTTAAGAAAAACTGCAACCTCTCTTGGGCTGTTTTCTCCTCTATAAAATAGGTGTAATCAGAGAAGTCAATAACTATTTCGAATTTAGGAACAGCTTCAAAGTGCTATTTCAAAAGGGAGTGAAGAATGAACGTGGCCAGTTTTTTACTGAAGAAGCTAGGAGTAAAACATAGCATATGTAATAACATATACTGTAGAAAAACCGCATTCACAGCAAGCACAGGGGAAAAAAAGCACTGGACTTGAAATCAGAGGAATGTAAGATCTGATTCTGCCACTTACTACTTGACACTGGGCAGAGCATTTCAATCAAACTGAACCTCATCAGTAAAATGGGGGTAAGACTTGCCCTACCTACCTCACAGGCTTGATAACATCAAAAGATTTTGAGCTGAAAAGGACTATGTGGATCATCCTATCCATTCTCCTCACTTTAGAGAGGAGGAAATATTAGTAAGCAGATTAAAACAGCTGACCTATGTAGCAGGTTGAAGTTTGCAAAGCACTTTACATACAGTACCTCATTTGACTCTCACGTTCCAGAGTCAAATACACAGGTATTTTGTTAAAATGAGCCCACTGTACTGAGATATTAGAAGATTAAGTGACTACACAGCTAGTAGGTGCCAGGAATGGGTTTTGAATCTATTTTTCTTCTCTCTCCAAGGCCATCATTCTTTCCATAATATCTAGCAAACTAAAGCCTGAAGAAATAAAAAGACTTCCCAAAGTCTTATTGGGGAAGAAAGAAGCAGAGCTGAGTTGTGGACCTAAGTACTATTCTTTGCACTAAACCATGCTATCTTCTTGTAAGGTAAATGCTCTGTAAGCTGAAAAGCTCAACAAAAAGGTGAACTACTGTTATTATGAAAATGGTAGCTGGTTATTGAATCTCGTGTATGTATGTGTGTGTGTGTGTGTGTGTGTGCGCGCGCGAGCGCGAGTAGGATCACAGTATTTAAAATCGGAAGGTACCTTATTACTGACATAAATGCAACTTTAAAGTTTGCAAAGTACTTTATGTAAATTATCTCAGTTGAGCCCCAAAATAACCTTATAAATAGGCACCACAAGTATTGTTATCCCTGTTTTACAAATCAAGAATTGGGGGCTCAGTGAAGTTAAATGAGTTGTCTGAGATTACACAAGGTAGTGTTACAGGAAATATCTGGATCCAAGTGTTCCTGATTCCAAATTCCTTGTCCAGTACTATATCCATTAGTCTATGTGCTCAATCTCCTTATTTAACAGATGAGAAAACTGAGGAGGTTAAGTGACTGGACTCAGGTCATAAAAACAAAAAGTGGAGTTGTGCACACAAACAGAAATACACACTCTCCACTATATATGTATATGTACATGTATATATACACACACACACATAATACACTATGTAATTTACATCATACATAAACATGAGTAATAATTTATATTACACAAATATATTTATATAATACATACTATACACACACATAATACACACAGGCATGTGTACACACATATGTTGTCTGGAAAGAACACCGGACCTGTAGTCAGAGGTGATCGAGGTTCCAATCCCTGTTCCTACAATTATCAGCTGTGTGACCAGGAACTCGTCTAGTCAAGTCAGTCAATAAACATGTATTAATTACATACTCTGCACCAGGTACTGTGCTCAATGCTGAAGATATAAAGCAAGTCAGTGAGTGAGTCAATAAACATTTATTAAGTGCCCACCATAAGCCAGGCACTGTACTAAACTCTGCAGGATACAGAAAAAGGCAAAAAGTCCCTTGAGAGCAGGGACAGATTATCAAGAAAGGCAGGACACTAGCATTAAGGAGGACAGGGAAAAGATTCTTGAATAAAGGATTTGAGATGAGACTTGAAAAAGTCATGTCTGAGGCTGTGTCTTTAGCTGCAAGGTAAGATTAGGTATATTTGCACCATCTGCCTCACGGAGTGGTTTGAGGTTAAGTGCTTTCTATGTTATCAGTCCATATCCACGTGTGCACACACCTACCCACATGCATGCACCTGTGAATGCGCCCAGTAGGCATGCATGTGCATCTATGCACAAATACACATACATGCACAAGTGCACGCACCTGTCCACATACACCTGTGCACACACTCCCCACCCCTCCCGCCGCCTTCCCAGGGGTCCAGACGCAGGGAAAGGCCACCACCCGGGACCTTGGGGGCGGGGCATCCAGGGGAGGGGTCCCGAGTCCCTACACCTACCCCGGCGCCGGTGACCCCAGCACCTCCTGTTCCCAGCCATAGCCATCGCCGCCGCCGCCGCCGTCAGGGCCTCCGAGGCCAGCCAAAGCCAGGCGCAGGCTCTGGGCCAAGCCCCGCCGAGGGGCCTCCCAGGAGGAGGAGGCCACCAAGCGGGAAGCCTCCCCGCAGTCCTCGGTCCCCGGCTCCATGCCGCGCGCAGGCCCCGCTGGCCGATGCCGCCTCTGCCTCCCGCGCCAACCGTTCCCTTCCCGCCCAGGCTGGGCCGGCCCGGCCCGGCCCCACCCCCACCCCGAATCCGGACCGAACCGATCAGGGCAGGGGCTTGAGGAACCTCCCTGTCGTGAACACGTGTTTCAGACCGGGTAGAGTTCGCCAGAGAAAGAGCCACTTCCAGGTACCTTAGCTAGCCCGAGCCGGCGGAGAAAAGATCACGTGAACCAGGAGCCCTGAGCTACGCATGCGTAGGACGCTTCTCCTTGGCCTCCCAGTTCCACAGAAATAGCCGTGGAAACGAGGGAGGGGGAGGAGCCAAAAGAAAGGGCATGCGCATTTCCTATCCAGCGCTTTCCAACCTGTTTATTCCCCATTCGTTCATTAGTTCAACCAGCCTTTATTAAGCACTTATAGGGATGCAGACTCAAATGTCTCCTGCTTTCAAAATGCTTATTCTACTGGATTGAATGAGGGAAGGGAAAACATCAAACTATATATGAAAAGGAATGGGGGGAGGGGCACTCGCAACCTTTGGGGAATTCAGAAGGCGTTTTGTAGAAGGGGCAATTAACCCGAATTTGGACGGAAACTAGAGGTTCTGAGACAGAAGTGAGGAAAGAGTTCATTTGGGACGTGAGAGATAACCTGTGCAAAAACTCTGAGACTGGAGAGAAGAGGGAAAGATGCTTAGCTTAGAGCGTTAGGCCAGGGTTGTCTTTGGGAATTCAGGGGGTAGGTACCATTATATAGTGCTTACATCCACCCTGTGAGGGAGGAGATATTATCCCCAATTTAGAAGTGGAGAGACTGAGGCCTGGCGAGGTTACATGACTTGTCCAGGGTCATGCCACTGTTAAATGTCAGGCAGTATTCAAACTCCTCTCCCTGACTCCAAGGTGACCCCAGACACCTAGATGCTTCTCTGAGGGGAGATCTAAGTAAAGTTGTTGAGTGTGTTCAAGGCCTCTGATGCTGACGATATGACTCATCTGCTAAGGTGGAGAACATGTTTTAAGAACTCTATTTTAGAAAAACAGGACAGCAATTTTGGGAGGAGATTGTGGAGGGAAGTAGAAAAGTTTGGGTCAACTAGAATTTAAGGATTGAGGGTTTGACAAGTGTTGTGAGAGGAGTTAAAAGAACAAAGTAGTCAGGGAACAACTCACGAAGTGATGGGACTTCCTGGGAAAGACAGGATTTAGATTGCTAAAGAAGGGAACTGTGAGAACAGAGCTACAAAATTTACAACGGGACAATTCCTTCCTCTGCCACTTACTACCTGGGTGACCTTAGGCAAGTCATTTTGATGGAATCCTAAAAAAGCTGCCCCCAGCCCCAATATTCTAACTTCCTGAACAGTAGGTAGTCCTGATTTAACCACACAATCTAGCTTTAGCCATACCACAGGCCCCCAGACTCAATACAGCCACTGCCCCCAGCTAGCCCCAGATCCAATTCAACTATTGGAACAGGTGTGTTCTTGTACTCAATCACAGTCACATCATCCATTTAGCCCAGGACAGGATCTCAATACCTAACTATCCATCTTGATCAGATAGGACCATAATAGCTAGCCAATCAAACAACAGCATGACCAAGATGTTTGACCACTGAATCATGGGACCCCTCTCCTACTACCCAATCCCTTGACAAACCCCTTCTGCCTTTTTAATATTCATATTTTCTGGCGGCAGCTAGGTGGCGCAGTGGATAGAGCACTGGCCCTAAAGTTAGGGAAGACCTGAGTTCAAATTCGGCCTCAGACCAAACACTTGACACTTACTAGCTCTGTGACCCTGGGCAAGTCACTTAACCCCAATTGCCTTAAAAAAAAAAAATTCATATTTTCTGTTGTATAATCAGCATCATTACACTATAAATTCGCCTTTGTCATCTTACTAAGTTGCTGGTTCCTCTTGGAACCTAGCCGGCTTCTGAGGGGCATCAGTCCTCAAAAAATGCCTGTAATTAGATTAGAGGTGGTCTGACTGAATTCTTTGAGACACCGCCACAACACTCCCATGAAAGCAAAACAATGTAGCCTTTCCCAGTCTCACTGTCCTCATTTATAAAATAAGAGAGTGGAACTAAACTAAGGGACTAAGGTCTCTTCCAGCTCTAAATCTGTCTTCCTATCACCGTCTGACATTCATCTTGGTTATGTTGACAGGAGGTCTCACAAACTTAAACTTGTTTTCCATACTATAGAATACAACTATAATTTTCAGAGCTCTCCATCAAGTTAAATATTTTCTACCTTCCTCAGTCTAGCCTGGACTGAACCTAGTGTTTCAATGTTTTCCTTCCCTTCCCACCGACAACCCTGAAGGGTGGGGAGAAGGTTGGGGGAGGGAGGACTAAGCCGTGCCCCTTGGTCTTCCTTCCCTTTCCTTTCCTCTTCTCTGCTTATCAAAGTACAAATCAGCACCACCATCTGATTGTCTTAAATGCCCATGTTCTTTCCAAAGTCCAGGGCACATGTTTTCCTACTCTGTCCGAATGAGAAGACACCTTCCTCCAAATCCTTTCTTTTGAGGCCTCTGGGAAGAGTCTACCTCTTGACTACATTCCCCACCCCCACTCCCCACTCCTCCACACTCCCTACCCTCCTCTTGCAACTGGGGGACCATAAGACAATTTAATAGGATAGATTTTTTCCCCAATCCATTTGTTTTCATGCCATCCTAACATAACACCATACAGAGCCTGTGAATGGCTGAATAAGAAGCGTTAAGGGCAGAAACCACAGCTCAGAAATGTAACATCTTGTCTCCAAAATTTACAAATCAGGGCCTTTGGTTGTTTTTCTCTTTTTCTTTCTTTCTTTCTTTTTTTTTTTTGAGGTGAGTGGTATTTGTTTTGGTGTCATACATATATTTAGAAGGTTTTTTTGTACTATAATTAACATGCTTCTTCCCAGTTCCTGGGTTGGAGGGGTTGAAAATACACACACACACACACACACACACAAACACATAATGCATATTATATATATATATATATATATATGTGGCTATATTATTAGTCTTTTCAAGAAATTACTAATTTTATTTACTAGTGGGGGTGTGTGTTCAAAGTAGGTTAGTTGTTAATTTTTTAAAACAAAAGTTAGTTAAGTTTTCATTTCTTTAGTTGATCAATAAAAATATTGTCTTAATGATTAAGTATTCAAAAAATGTTTGCCATATAAAAAAAACAAAATTTCCTGGGTACACATCCTAATAAAATTTGTTGTGCTCATCCAGGTTACTGAGTAAGCTTTTCTTCGAGATAATCAGTGGATTGGAGAGGCATCATGGCACAGTGGCTGCAGGACCACTGTCACACCATGAAACTGCAGGTCAAAAAAAAAAAAAAGAACAACTAATCCAAAGTAAGTATTGCATGGGAGCATTTGAGGGGCAGAGCCAAGATGGTGGAGGGAAGCCAGGAAGTTGCCTGAGCTTTCCCCAGTTTCCCTTGGAAACAACATTAACTCAAGCTTCTTGATGGATTCTGGAGTGATAGAACCTACAAAAAGATGGAATGAAACAATTTTCTGGCTTAAGATAACTTAGAAAAATTCAGGAAAGGTCTCTCTCACTTGGGTAAATGGGGAGTGAAGCCCAGTGAAGACAGTGTCTGGGAAAGCCATCGAGAGGCTCTTAACCACAGCATACATCAGATACAGAGGCTCCTCAGTCCTCGCTCAGTAGGCCAGTGGCCTCCAGCCCCATTACAGAAGGCAAATTGCCAGCCCCAGAAACCAGATGACAGTTGTGACGAGGCTGGGCCACCCCAGTGGAATAAGCAAGCCACCAGTACCTGAGGCTGCAGTGAACAAAGTCAGTGACCAGGCTCCTGGCCCCCAGCACAGGAAGTATGGGACAATGTCCCCTGTAACCCAGGAGCAAAGCTCAACATTAAAAGCCACAAAATGGGCAAAAATAGGAGCAATAAACAAAAAATAACCTGACCATAGAAAGTTTCTGTGGTGACAGGGAAGATCAAAACACGAACTCAGAAGAGGATGTCGTCATAATGTCATGATGCCTACATGTGAAACCTCAAAGGGGAATATGAATTGGTCTCAAGCCCAAAAGGCCTTCTTGGAAGAGCTCAAAAAGGATTTTAAAAGTCAAATAAGAGAGGTAGAAGAAAAATTGGGAAAATAAATAAAAGGTATGCAAGACAGAGTCAACAGCATGAAAATGAAGGACAAAAAAGACTGAAGAAAACCATTCCTGAAAAAATACAATTGGCCAAATTGGAAAAAAAAAATTCTACTGAGAAAAAGGAACGTCAAAAAATTGACTGAAGAAAACAATTCCTTAAAAAAAATACAATTGGCCAAATGGGAAAAAAATCCGCTGAAGAAAACAACTTCTTGAAAAGTAGAATTGTCTAAATGGAAAAGGAGGTACAAAAGCTAACTGAAGAAAATAATTCCTTAAAAATTAGAATTGGACAAATGTAATTATTGCATGGATCTGTTCTCTATAGAAAAGCATATAAACAAAAAAAGCATATACTTTTAATTATAGAAATCTTCATAAAAATTATCAGAGATGTTTTTAATAATATATTTTGGGCAGCAAACACACACATGACTATAAAATTTTCTTCCATGTACATTGACTATTAAATAATTTATATTGTTAATGATGACTGTTTATACCTTTTAACACACCACCCAGCCCAGTGACTGGCACATAATAAGCACTTGATAAATGTTTATTCATTAATTATAAATGAAAACTCAGATTCTGGCTGTGTGACCCTTAACCCTTACCTAAAATTGGAGAAGGAAATGGCAAACTATTCTAGTATCTTTGCCAAGAAAACCCCATGGACAGTTGGTTCCTGGGGTCACAAAGAGTTGGACACAACTGAAGAAAAAAAACTTGTTTGATCCGTTCAGTGATAATAAGCATTTCTATCAGGTTACCTAAGTGATATTTTGAATGTCCTCTTTCACAACATCAGACATACCTAA